TTGGTTAATCTTCACCTGAGGATATTTTTTCCATTGATTTTTTTTTTTTTTTTTTTTTAGAGAAAGTGAAAGGGAGAGAGAGACAGACAGAGAAACTTCAATGTGAGAAAGACACATCGATTGGTTGGCTCCTACATAACCCCAACCAGGGCCAGGGACCAAATCTGCAACCCAGGTACATGTCTTTGGGAATCAAACCCTCGACCCTTCAGTCCATGGGCAGACACTCTAACCAATGAGCCAAACCAACCAGGGGCTAAAAACATTTTTTTTTTTTAATCTTCACCCAAGGATATTTTTCCATTTATTTTTGGACAGAGTGAGAGGTGGAGAGAGAGAAAAACATCGATATGAGAGAGAGACATCGATTGGTTGCCTCCCGTATAACCTTGACCAGAACCGGGGACCGAACAGCACAACTCTTCGGTCCATGAGCCAACATTCTAACCGCTGAGCCAAACTGGCCAGGGTGGGGGCTAAAAACATTTTTAAGTAAAGCAAAACTAAGAGAATTCATCACCTCAGACTTATACTACAAGAGAGAAAAAAGCCCATCCCAATAGATTATATACTGTCTGATACCATTTATATAACATTCATGAAATGACCAAATTATAAAAATGAAGAACAAACTGGTGGTTGCCAGAGGTCAGGGATGGTGGTGCTATATAAAAGGGCAACCCCAGAAACTCTTGTGGTAATGGAACTGTTGGGTATCGTGACGGTATCAATGTCAATATCCTGGTGGTAATAATATATAGTTTTCCAAGATGTTACCATTGTCAGGGGAATCTGTGGTGTTTCTTATAACTGCATAAGAATAAACAATTACCTGAAATTAAAAATTTAATTTTTTAAAGCACATTTTTAATTAAATAAAAATTTTTTAATGTTTTTAACAATCTGTCAGTGTTTTAAAACAGAGGCTGCAGGCAATATATTTCAAGCATTCAAAGTGGTATTAGGGACAGAATGCTTTTTTTTTAAATATATTTTTATTGATTTTTTTTAGATAGAGAGGAAGGGAGAGGAGAAAGAGAGAAAGAAACATCAATCAGCTGTCTCCTGCATACCCCACACTGGGGATCAAGCCCACAACCTGGGCATGAGCCCTGAACAGGAATCGAACTGATGACCTCTCGGGGCATGGGTCGATGCTCAACTACTGAGTCACACCAGCCAGCCTGGATAGAACTCTTTGAAGGCAGATGAGCTATCTTTAACAATCTGTCAGTGTTTTAAAGCAGAGGGTTGCAGGCAATACATTTCAAGCATTCAAAGAGATACTACAGACAGAATCTTTGAAGGCAGATGAGCTCTATCCCTTTCTCCAGGCCCAAGATAAAAGTGTCACATGAACTGCCTAAATTTGCCACATCAATACCAATTCTATATTCCAATTCACATTACCTACAACAAGAGTGATGAAATTCTTTTCCTTGGGAATGGATACAGCCAGATTATTACGCTATCTTTTGCATATTGGCATTATGGGATATCCTAGAATTGATCCTGTTGGTGAAACTAGTCACCAATTCAGTGTAATTCATGCAATAATCAGTTTACTTTCTGCACTAAACGATATCACTGTACCCTGGCCGGTGTGGTCAGTGGTTAGAGCATCAGCAAAGGGTCCCAGGTTTGATTTCTGGTCAAGAGCATGTACCTGGCTTCCCATTCAATTCCTAGCCCCGTCAGGGCGCATGCAGGAGGCAACCAGTCAACTCTTTGTCACATTAATGTTCTTTCTCTCTCTCCCCCCAGTCTTTTTCTACCACCACCCCCCCTCTCTCCCTCCCTTCCACTCTTTCTAAATATCAATGGAAAAAATATCTTCAGGTAAGGATTAACAACAACAAAAAATGCACTGTATCTTTCCTGTAATAAACACTCCTGAAACAGACTGACCATCAGAATAGTAGTACTACCAATTCACACAACTATTTCTGGTACATGGTGAAGAACTAACTTGTGTTTTGTTTTCAACTCCCTTGTACCCCAGCACTTTAATTCTCTTTGTCTTTCAGATAATTTCTGAGGCCCAGTACAAATCAAAGATTATCTCCTGTCATCTGACTGATGGGGCACATGTAATAAAAGAAGGAATGCCAATTTCAAAATAAATGAGAATTAATCTTGCTGTTACTTTTGGCTGACTACTTCATTATTATCAGCACTTTTAAATAAAGACATCTTTTAAAAACAATAAGGTCCGGCTAGTGTGGCTCAGTGGTAGTGCGTCGACCCATGCACAAAGAGGTTGCCGGTTTGATTCCCGGTCAAGGCACATGCCCAGGTTGTGGGCCAAATCCCCAATGGGGCACATGCAGGAGGAAGCCGATCAATGTTCTCTCTCATCAATGCTTCTCTCTCTCTCTCTCTTTCTCTCTCCATTTTTCTCTCTCTAAAATGAATAAAGAAAAAGAATTTTTTTAAGTAAAATAAAAACACAGTAAGGCTAGCAGTTTGGTAGCTATAGAAAACCATCTAACACTACACTCTATACATGACTCTCAGTCACTTCTTCTACATATGAAATTAAAGTAAATTTACAGCTCCTGCAGTATAAAAATAAGAAGGAAACTGCTCCTTGAAGAGACAGCCTGTACTTTGGCCCCACATTACCAGCTGACTGGGATGCTCAGGAGTCAGACATTCACAAATACCCAGAATGCAGGTAGTGAGCTGCCCCTATCTTGGACAGGCCAGAAGGCCTCTTTAAGGCATTAACTAACCCAGGAGAGCTGCTCACTAGGCTTTTCAATGGAAGAGCAACAGAAACCACCTGTTACTTCTATGTTTTCCCCTTGAGGCAGATTTGTTCACTTTCTCTCTCAACATAGTTTCTTTGTGAGATAACGTTAGATTTGTACATACAGCTATCACCTTTACTGATAATTTGTCTCTTGCTTGACATCTTTCAGGCACCAACTTAGTACAACTAATGTCCCTACTAATTCTAAACTGTACTGTTTTAACAAGAGACTGGGGTTTGAGAACCTGTCCAAATAGGAATGCTCTAAACCACAGCTAGGATAGAACTTTGGTTACAAAATATCAAGTATAGATACTACCTCCCTTTCTGCCCATCAAATACCCTGCACAGCACACATCTGTCAAGCTAACATCTAAGTGCTGGGCTGACGAGGAAGTGGTGAAAAGGGAACCCTCATACACTGTTGGTAGGAATGTAAATTAGTCCAACCACTATGAAAAATAATATGGAAGTTCCTCAAAAAATTAAAAATAGATCTACCATACGATCCAACAATTCTACTTCTGGGTATATACCCAAAGGAAAGGAAAACAGGAGTTCAAGAATATATGCACACCATGTTTATCACAGCATTATTCACAATAGCCAAGATATGGAAACAACCCAAATGACCATCAACAGATGAACAGATAAAAAAAGATGTGGTATGAACACACAATGAAATATTACTCAGCCATGAGAAAAAAAGATATCCTAATGGATGGACCATGAGCATATTATGTTAAGCGAGGTTAAGTCAGACACAGAAAGGCAAGATTAATCCAAAGTAGTCGAGAAAACTTTCTCAAGGAAACAATTCCGCTTCTCTGGTTTATTAAAAGGATTCTGTTGTGTCTCTTTTACATATGTCAAATTAAAGATTCAAATAAAAAAAAAAAAAAAGAAAGGCAAGTACTATAAGCTATCACTTATATGCTTTTATAAGCTTGACTTATAAAAGTCAAACCTGTAAAAAAAAAAAAAGATGGTTGCCAAGGGATGGGGGGGGGTCGGCGGCTAAGCTGATGGTGTTTAAGTGTACAAACATGTACCAAGTAGTAAATAAGTCATAGAGATCTAATACATAAAATAATAAACATAGATAATAACATTGCACTGTAAAGATGTAATGTGATAAATATTGCTTCACTGGCAATCATAATATATAAATGTATCCAAGTAACATGCTGTACACCTTAAATTTACAAAATTTAACAGGTCAGATTTATCAAATAAAAATGTACAGATGAAAGAAAAAAACACATACCTGAAGAAAGGGAAGGAGAAAGAGCACTTCGAAAAAAGCAAGAAAGCCTGGAATTCTAGGCCTACTACAATCAAGTCTTACACACATCACTGTTATCTTCATGGGCTCCAGTCACTCCACCTTCATATAAGGCACCTGCAAACTTCCCTGGTCTCACCCCACCACCACCCCCTCTCCATCTTCATATATTATCTGTACTAACTCACTTGTATTTCCTCAAATACAGCATGCTTTTTTATGCCTTCATTCTTTTGCAGTTGCTATTCTCTCCCTAGAATGAACTTCACACACTTCTGTGACTGTTGGCCACTCTACAATTATTCAAGTGAGTACAGGTATTCCAACAATGTTGCTGTTTCTCCTTCTCTGATTTCTTCTAGGACTCTTCTGTGGGAGCTAGTGTCAGAGCCATTTATTTGCCATAAAACAAATCTGCTCCTTTGACTGTAGTTCGGATGACATGGTTTTCAGTTCCCTCACCACCCTAGCTTCTAGGACTGAAATCTGTACTCTAGGTGTGGTCTAACTAGCATCATTTAAAACAAGACTATCCATTCTTTTTTGACAATATTTATTAATGCAAGTTAAAATCACAACTTTCTGTCAACTAAATCACACTTTTGCCATATATCAAACTTGCCCCCAACTATAAAAGCTTTACATTTTAGCCTGGCTGGTGTGGCTCAGTGGTTGGACCCATGCACCAAGATTTCACCGGTCTGATTCCTGGCCAGATTGTGGGTCCAATCCCCAGTGAGGGGCAAGTAGGAGGCGGCCAATCGATGTTCTGTCTCATCGATGTCTCTATCTCTCTCCCTCTTCCTTCCTCTCTCTGTAAAATCAATAAATAAAATTTATTTTAAAAATAAAATAGCCTTGGCCAGTTTGGCTCAGCGGTTGGAGTGTCGCCCGGGAACCAGAGATCCCGGGTTCGGTTCCCACTAGGGGCACATACAAAAAAAAAAATTTAGAGATCGATCTAAGATGGCGACTGTGGAACCGGAAACCACCCCTACTCCTAATCCCCCGCCTACAGAAGAAGAGAAAACAGAAACTAACCAGGAGGTTGCTAACCCAGAACATTATATTAAACATCCATTACAGAACAGATGGGCACTCTGGTTTTTTAAAAATGATAAAAGCAAAACTTGGCAAGCAAACCTTCAGCTGATCTCTGAGTTTGATACTGTTGAAGACTTTTGGGCTCTGTACAACCATATCCAGTTGTCTAGTAATTTAATGCCTGGCTGTGACTACTCACTCTTCAAGGATGGTATTAAACCTATGTGGGAAGATGAGAAAAACAAAGGAGGAGGAAGATGGCTAATTACATTAAACAAACAGCAGAGACGAAGTGACCTCGGTCGCTTTTGGCTAGAGACACTGCTGTGCCTTATTGAAGAATCTTTTGATGACTACAGCAATGATGTATATGGAGCTGTTGTTAATGTTAGAGCTAAAGGTGATAAGATAGCAATATGGACTACTGAATGTGAAAACAGAGACGCTGTTACACATATAGGGAGGGTATACAAGGAAAGGTTAGGACTTCCTCCAAAGATAGTGATTGGTTATCAGTCCCACAGCTACTAAGAGCGGCTCCACCACTAAAAATAGGTTTGTTGTTTAAGAAGACACCTTCTGAATATTCTCATAGGAGACTGCGTCAAGCAATCAAGATTTGGGAGCTGAACCAAAGCCTCTTCAAAAGCAGAGTGGACTGCATTTAAATTTGATTTCCATCTAAATGCTGCTAAGAGATAAGAGAAGTCTCATTCGCCTTTGTCTTGTACTTCTGTGTTCATTTTCTTTTCTTTTTTTTTATTTTTGCTAGAGTGTCCACTTACCCAATCAAAGAATTACAGTACCAGAATCCATAAATGTGCTTTCTGGCCCACTCTGTAATAGCTTAGAAGAATTACAATTACAAACACATTTTACCCATCCACAATGTTAAAAAAGAACTTGCATTTTTTTTTACCTTACAGGAAAAGAATTCTGTTTATGTCCCATTGTATGCGGGAGCATATTTTGCTGGTTTGAAAGAGTATGATGCATACAGTTTTCTAGCAATTTTCTTTGTTTCTTTTTACATCATTGTCTTTGCTGTACTCTTGCTGATGGCTGCTAGATTTCAATTTATTTGTTCCCCTACTTGATGACATTAGTGATTCTGATTTCACTTTTACATTTATTTGCTTTTGTTCTCATGTAATATTGGTGAAGGATCCAAGAATATGACACAAAGGTGGAATAAACATTAATTTGGGGCATTCTTTGGTAATTTTTTGTTTTTTTGTAACTACAAAGCTTTGCTACAAATTTATATATTTCATTCAAATCAGTGATCGATTTTGTGTGGTTTCCTAAACATAATTGTGGGTTATAAAAAAATGTAACATCATAATTACATTCCTAATTAGAATGTCTGTTTTTGTATCTTTATGCTGTATTTTAACACTTTGTATTACTTAGGTTTTTTGCTTTGGTTAAAAAATGGCTCAAGTAGAAAAGCGGTCCCATTCATATTAAGACAGTGTACAAAACTGTAAATAAAATGTGTACAGTGAATTGTCTTTTAAAAAAAATAAATAAATAAAATAAAATAAAAGCCCTGGCTGGTTTGGCTCAGGGGTTGGAGTGTCAGCCTGCAGACCAGAAGAGTCCCAGATTCGATTCCCGCTAGGGGCACGTACCAAAAAATAAAAATAAAATAAAAGCCCTGGCCAGTCTGGCTCAGCAGTTAGAGCGTCGGTCCGTGGACCTATGAGGCCCGGGTTCAATTCTGACCAAGGGTACATACCTAGGTTTTGGTTCATCGTGGGACGCAACCAGTCAATGTGTCTCTCTCACATCAATGTCTCTCTCTCTCTCTCTCTCTCTCTCTCTCTCTCTCTCTCTCTCTCTCTCCTTCCCTCCCTCCCTCTAATCTGTCTAAAAATAAATGGGAAAATGTCCTCAGGTAAGGATAAAAAAACAAAAAACAAATAAAATAAAAGCCTTACATTTTAATGTTGCTATTAAGTCATATCTCTTTTCTATACTTCTACTTTTGCAACACCTGCTTCATCAAACAATTCAAATTTCTTTCTTATCCCCAAGTATATCCTAATCATCCTCATCAAAATATTCCTGAATCCAAAAATGGTAACTGACAGTATTCCCCTCTTCTACCAGTCAATTCCCTTAACAGAGAAAATGTGGTTAGTCTGACCTAACATATTTTTAGTGGGCCCACGCTGGCTCTTCATAATTACAGTTTCCTGTTCTAAATCTTCATACCATATACTTAAACCATTCAAAACTCTGACTAGGTATACGTAAAGCTCTTACCTTCTCGGTTTTGAAAATATGTCTTTTTGTGGTAATTCCATGAGTCCTTCAAAGTTATTGACAAAGAGCAAATGACCTCATCCTAAAATTCTTTCAGAACTGTGGGCTATAATTCGTCTGGGTCAGGAGACATGAATTCATTCAGAGGAATTAAGTGCTTCTGTATAAATGCTTAATGATCTCAGACTTGCATCTTCTCTTAACCAATTCAGTTTTATGTAAAGCATATGGGACATACCTCTATGGAGCACAAAAGCTGCTCAACAAATAGATCTTTTCCTCCCAAAAGAACAATCATACATGCAAGAGTCACCTCTAAATCTATAATCATGAAAACAAGACAAAGAAATGCCCTGGAAATTCCCAAATGTTCCCCAAGAAGGAAGCCTCTACTGCATGAAAGTGACGACATCCATCTGCTTCACAGAATGCATACCAAAGCAGAGCCTAGAGCAGCAAACATGGCTGTACCCAGAACACTGACATGTCCCTAAATACAAATTTCAAACCACAGCTTATAATAGGGGACTACCCAATAGCCTCTTCTTTCCCAGAGCACACAGGAGGAGATTTAAGAATCTAGGAGTCTGCCCAGCCAGTGTGGCTCAGTGGATTGAGCATTGTCCCATTGACAGAGAGGTCCCGGTTCAATTCCCTGTCAGGGCATATGCCCAGGTTGTGGGCTTGATCCCCAGTAGGGGGCATGCAGGAGGCAGCCAATCAATATTTCTCTCTCACATCAATGTTTCTATCTCTCTCTCCCTTCCTTTCTCTCTAAAAAAAAATCAATAAAAACATATTTTAAAAAATAGAATCTGGAAGTCTCCTGTCAGGATACCTCAATAACAGAAGAAGTTTCCTTTAACCTTAAGACTTTTTATAATAATAAATTATTTTTTTCTTTACAGTTTCCTAACGGCTAAAATTTTACCAATTGATACTAAATCAAAGCACAAAGACTAGCATTTGTTTTACTAAATGTGCTTTAAAAGCACTGTATTGGTCACATCAAAAGCCTTGTTGTACTTCAGGCCCAGCTGTGAGAGCAATGGAAATGTTTCTCTTTCACTTTGTAGAATGCTGAAAATGGCTCTCACACACAAAGAAGGTGGGGGAGCTCTATTCAGACAGTACAAAGTAGTGTTATAGCAGAGTGTTTAAGAGCTAGCTTTGGGATTGCAGATCTAAATGTGAAACGTGAAACAATAAAGCCTTTAGGAGGAAACACAGAACACCTCCATGATCCTGCAATAACAAAGATGTTTTAATCAGAAAACAAACTACACTAAACATCGAAAGAAAACTGAAAAATTGAACAATATTATAATTCAAAACTTTTGTTCCTCAAAAGTCAGTCACCACTGAGAATGAAAAGGAAACATATACAGGTTACAAGAATATATTTCAATACATATAACTGACAGACTCACACCTAGAACATACCAAGAATTCCATTAAGGACCTGGCTGGTGTGGCTACCTTGGTTGGACATTGTCCCGTGCATCGAAAGGTTGCCAGTTCATTTCCTGGTCAGGGCACATGCCCGGGTTACAGGCTCAATCTCAGGTAGGGGAGGCATGCAAGGGGCAACCAATCAATGTTTCACTTTCACATCACTATTTCTCTCTCCCTCTCTCCCTTTCTCTCTCTCTAAAGAGGAATGAAAACATTTTTTAATTAAAAACAAGAATTCCATTGAATCAATAAACAAAAAATATACCAACTGAAAAAAAAACGGCAAAAGACTTCGATACTCCTAAACAGAGGGTATGCCCTGGCCAGTTTGACTCAGCAGTTAGAGCATCGGCCTGCAGACTGGAGAGTCCCGGGTTTGGTTCCCACTAAGGGCATGTACCTCAGTTGAGGCTTGTCCCCGGCCCTGGTTGGGGTCATGTGGGTGGCAGCCACTCAATGTGTCTCTCTCACATTGATGTTTCTCTCTCTCTCTTCCTCCCTCTCTCCTTCCCACTCTGTCTGAAGATAAATGCAAAGGTATCCTCGGGTGAGGATTAAAAAAAAAAAGAGTGTATCCAAATGTCTGATGAACTTTTGAGGTGTTCAACTTCATTAGTCATCAAAAAAAAAAAAAAAAAACAAATTTAAGTAACGCAATACCACTCCATAATAACCAGAATGGTAAAAAAAAAAAGAAAGGACTATCTGAGTGTGGGTGAGGATAGCATTGCACATGGGAATGTAAACTGATACCACCACTGTGGAAAACAGTATGGCAGTATTTACTAAGCGGAACATATGCCTATGACCCAGCAATTCCACTCACAGATATATACTCAATAAACCAAAAGGCATGTTCACACAAAAAAGGCACATATAAGAACATTTATAATATGTAACGATTGTAATACTAAAAATCTAGAAACTACCCACATCGTTAACAGCAGAATTGAGAGATAAATTGTGGTAGGGAAAACTATACAACCAGTGAGAATGATCAATCTAAAATGACATATAATAGTATGAATGAACTGCTCAGACATATGTTATGTGAAAAAATACAGACACAAAAAAACACATAGTGTATGATTACATTTATATAAAGTACAAAGACAGACAAACTGTTCTATGCTGTTAGAAGTCAGGATAGTGGTTACTTTTGGTGGGTGAGAGGGCAAACAGTAACTAGAAGGAAGGATTCTGGGTGCTGGCAACATGGGTGTGTTCAGTTTATGAAAATATATCACAATGTACATTTTGATATGCATACTTTACAGTATATATATCTAGTTAACAAAGTTTAATTTTTAAAAAAAGAGTAAACTCTAGATTCTGAAAGATCTGAATTTGAATCCCAATCTTTCCACATAATTTCTGTATAACATTAGGTAAGTTATTTAACTGTGTTGTGCCTGTTTTCTCATCTATAAAATGGAATAGAACATCTCTCATATATTGCTAACAGGTCCAAATGTGATTATGTATGAGGTACTATTACCTTAGCTTCACTTGCCATCAATGTCAAAATCATATAAAGAGTTAAGTGATGCAAAGAATAAAAATGTTAGAAATAGTGAACATTTAATAGGTACTGACCATGTGCCAGGCATTGTTCCAAGCCATTTAATGTATTAACTTATTTAATCCTACCACAACCCTATGAGACTCGCTCTATTTCCACTTCAAAGATGAAGAAACTAAAACACAGAAGTAAATTGCCCAAGGTCATACAAATAGTAAATGAAGAGTAGGGTTTCAAACCCAGACGACAGATATAACCTTTAGACTACACTATCTCCTTTACT